AAAGGTGCACGGAAAGCGGGAACGGTAGAGGAAAGCTAATAAGGGAAAAGAAAAAAATAGGATAAAATGAGAAAATTGAAATAAAATGTTTGTAAATGGGGAGGGGGTGGTGAAGGGAGGGCAGGGACAAGGGGAAAAAATGAGAACCAAGACCTGTCATGTAAAGGTACAAGATCCCAATGATGAATGTAACTGTACTGTATACCTAAAAAGTACCAATAAACTCATTGACAAAAACAATAAGTCTGATTGTCTTCCTCTTCACCTAGAAGCATTCCAATGGCTTCTCGTCTCAGAGTAAAAGCCAAAGAATGTATACTGTCCCTACAGTAAAGTCCTAGACCAGCTAGATCCTCATTATCTTTCTGACCTTACCTCCCACCAACTCAGTGTGGTATACTAATGGCAAAAATTGTTCTTCATTTTCCAGTTTTTACTCTGTTCACACACTGCACTTTTTTCAAGCTCTTCCCATGAAGAAATGGAAGTCTTTTCCTCTTTCCTTGAAACTGAACTGGTCTGGTCTTAAAATTGCCTGACCAATAGAATGTGGCAGAAGCAATGTTGTTTCATTCTGAACCTAGGCCTCAAGAGATCTTCTGTTGCCTCTCTCCCTTCTCTCCTCCTCTTTTTCCTTTTTTCCTCTCTCCTTTTTGTTCTTTTCCTTCTCCTATTTTTCCTCTCCTTTCTGCTCCTACTCTTCTCACCACCTCCTCCTTCTCCTCTCCTTCTCTCCCTCTCTCCCTTCCTCTATTTTTCCATCTCTCTCTCTCTCTCTCTTTCTCTCTCTCTCTCTCTCTCTTCCTCCTTGAAATGTCATGAAAGCAATGAGAAAATACACACTTATTCGAGGATATGAGACACAGAGACAAGTCAAGCAGTGCTGAATAAACCCAGAGGTCTCATCCAAAGTCCAAGCTGCACGAGAACCCAGCCAAGATCAACAAAACAGCTCTGGCTGCCTGCAAAGCCATGAACAAGTCCCACCTAGTTAAGCTCACATCATCAAAACCACTCAGGTGATATTTGTCCCCAAGAACAAAATTAAATACTTATCGAATTCCACTGAGATTTTGACATTGCTTCTTAGCATTATTGTTATTAGCGTTATTAGCTTGTTAGCTTCACAGCACTTTGATGATAACTGTTACACTCCCCTTGCCCGTTATTTGTCAGCATTCCAGAAAACACCAGTCTGAGTGGCCCTGACCTACTCCAGTGAGCTTTTAAAAGCATAAAGCTTTTTCTGGTTGGTGTAGGGAGAGGGGGCAGACAGGAGCTCCTGTTGGTCTTGTCTTTTCTCTTGTCTCCTATGACAAGAATATTCCCCCCCAGTCTACCCTCCATCCAATAGTTTTGTGCCTTGATCTTCTGTAAGTCCTTTTTAAAATTTCACCTTCCCAGTGACATCTGATCTGAATATAACATGTTGTACAACCACTTTTTACATACTTCCTATTTCCCCTCTTGGCTTTTCACTTTCTTCTCAACATTAATTGCTATCAAACATATTTTATATTTTTCTTATTCCCCTTGATGATTATCTAACTTGCTGTGAGCTCCTCGAGAGGAGGGATTTTTGTTTGTTTTATTCACTACTATATCCCCAGGCTTGAGATGGTGCCTGGCACATAAGATGCACAGAGTGACTTGTTGAATAAGTGTGAAAGGATATGAATGAGTCAGCAAAGAGTAGAGGTGACGGATCAGGTCTCCTCCACCCTCCATCTTCAACTCATACATGTGCCTCTCCTCATTCTGTTGGTTCCCTCACTAGATTTCAGGTTTCTGAAAATAACTATGACCCTTCCTGCCTTGGGGCTTTTTACCCTTCCTGCCTTGGGGCCTTGTTCCCTCTTCCTCGGAGAAGCAGTCAAATCCTATTTATTTTTCTAGTCCTGTCACAGGGATTATTCCTTCAGGAAGCCTTTCCCTGAATCCCCACACTCAAGTTCTTGGATAGTCTGTACCTTTTTCTTTTAAAGATATATGATTCAGTGTATGCTTTTATGTTGAGATAATTATTTGTTTAATGTCTGTTGTTCCCAACACACTGTAAACTCAATGAAGACCTGAAACCCTCAAGTAATGATCTGACCAAATCTGCACTTGGGTTCAGATAAGACATTTGTAGTTGAAAGACCTGCAGCATCAAACAGGAAGCCATGTGAAGAAAGTGGCTTTTCCATAATATATCAAGTCTTTCGGGAAAGATATTTTTATTCCCTTCTAAAGCCACAAGGTCTGTAAAGCACTACTCTCTAGGACCATCCCTAGTCTATTAGCAGAAGAGCGTGAGAGGGAACACTCAGATTCCAGGGGCGTGTAGTGAGGACGTGCCCCTGTCATTCTCACGCTGTCATGATTTATGCAATCAAGAATAGCATCAGACAGCAGCAATTAGGAGCAGAATCGGACACAGCACGAGCAACAGAAACAGTGCTGATTAACTCTAGAGAGTGTGTTAGTCAGTGTTCTACTGCTGTGAACAAATTAGCACAAACCGGGCATTAAAACAAGACAAATTTATGACCAGTTTCCATGGCCAGTTTAGCTGGACCCTCTGTTCAGGTCTCCCGAGGCCGTAATCAAGGCATTTGCGTTAGTTTGCTGCGGTTCTCATCTAGACTTGGGTGCTCTTCAAGCGCATTTAAGATGCTGGCAGATTCAGTTCCTCATGTAGTGGAAGGAGTTCCTCGTTTTCTTGCTAGGTGCTAGGTGGGCATCACACTCATCTCCTACAGGACGCGAGCGTTCCTTGTCACGTGATCCCCAAAGCTGCGCCCAGCATGAATGTCTGCTTCCGCCCTTCTGGCAGAGGCTTCTCTCTGTCTCCTCTCCTCTGCGCCATCTAGACAAAGCTCCCTCCTCCAAAGGCTCGCTGAGTAATCAGGCCCACCCAGGATAATCTTCCTTTGCTGTATAACTAACATCATCACAGGCGTGTTAGCTCATCCTGTTCCTGGACTCCGATCACACTCCAGGGACCTGTGCAGAGATGAGGCACCAAGGAGTAGAAATACTGAGCTTTTTTCTTTTTGAGAATCCTGCCTACCACAGACTAGCTCATCAAAATGGAAAATATTGAGTGCCTTTTTATTGTTAGAACTATGTTAAGTATTTTTTAGCATTTAATCTTTAAAATAATCTGAGAGATAAACTGTATTACTTTCTTTGTTTTGTAGGGGCAGAAACTGAAGCTAGCAGGCCAGGTGACTTTGCCATAAGAAACACAGCCTGAGAGACGGGTGAGGACTGCCCAGCCAACGTGGGGAGCTAAACTGCTCCCCCACCCTCCAGCACGCCAGGCCTTCATCAGAGCAGACCCCCTGCAGCGTGCCCCTCCCCCCACTCTTGGGCCTCCTAGCTGTGCTGGTACCTGGATCCGCACTGCAGAGACACAGGTGGTCACAAAGGCCACTGCACTGAGCTTCAGAAGATAGAATAGAAGTGAACAACTGCAATAAAGGCACACTAGACCTCCGTAGCTGGTAAGTAGGAGAGGTCACCACCTTCCATCAGAACCTGGACTATCTTCCGGGGAAGGGCAGTGGGAACCTGCCATAGAACCTTGCAGAGTTCAACCCTGCAAGAGGTCAGGGAGCTCAAATTGAGCCTTGCAGCCAGAAACCAGCCTGAATCTCAGTGGAGTACAGCCGGTTTGCTGAGACTAATCGACGTCTATCTGCACACTGCTGCCCACATTGTCCATTGTGACAGCAGAGACATACCCCGAAGGAG